AAATTCTTTAAGTGATTTAAGATCGGCTGTCCAAATGAAAAAGATGTCGTCTATGTAACGTTTCCATGTATGAGGTTTAACAGGGCTTAGTTGTAAAAGTTGGTTTTTTAATGTGACCCATAAAAATGTTGGCATAATTGGGAGCCATTTTGGTACCAATTGCAGTACCGTTAACCTGAATGTAATGCTCGTTATTGAATTCGAATTTGTTCAGAGTTAAAACCAGGCTGGCAAGATCAGTTACTGTTTGAGATTCTGATTGGTTAGAAAGATTTAATGCGGACTTTAGAGTTTCTAGTCTTTCATCACATGGAATATTGGTGTAAAGGGAAGAAACATCCATCGTGCAAAGAAGACTGTTGAGTGTTAACTGTCAGTTAGTATTAATATCTTCTATGATGTTAAAAAAGTGAGTAGTATCCTTTATGTAAGAGGGGAGGATACAGGGAATACATTTTATGTGTTGGTCAACAAAAGCGGACAGCTTTTCAGTCGCCATGTTTATATTAGAAATTATGGGTCAGCCAGGATTGTTTGGTTTGTGTATTTTGGGTAAGAGATAAAATCTACTAGGAAAAAATTGTGACTGTGTGACTTTAGGGTAAATATTGATGTGTAAATAAATTATTTGTGTCAGTGTGTGACTTTAGGGTAAATATTGATGTGTAAATAAATTATTTGTGTCAGTGTGTGACTTTAGGGTAAATATTGATGTGTAAATAAATTATTTGTGTCAGTCTGTGACTTTAGGGTAAATATTGATGTGTAAATGAATTATTTGTGTCAGTTTGTGACTTTAGGGTAAATATTGATGTGTAAATAAATTATTTGTGTCAGTGTGTGACTTTAGGGTAAATATTGATGTGTAAATAAATGATGTGTGTCAGTGTGTGACTTTAGGGTAAATATTGATGTGTAAATAAATGATGTGTGTCAGTGTGTGACTTTAGGGTAAATATTGATGTGTAAATAAATGATGTGTGTCAGTGTGTGACTTTAGGGTAAATATTGATGTGTAAATAAATGAT